TTATATGCCATGCGTGATACACAAGTCTTTTGGACCATCGTTTGTCATTACTGTTATGGTGTGGTTTCACAGTGGAGGCTTGTATTTGTAGTAAGTCGGTCCTAAAATAGGTTCGACGTACAAAACGTTAAGAACTTGATATTATAGGTAATGACGCAGAGTAATCTAGTTGTGGTCGCTGGTACTTTAGTATCCGACTAACGGTCGTCCGGCATCGACTGACTGACCGAACCACTGAGCGACGGTATTTAGTCGCCCCCCCCCCCCCCAAGGAGGGCATCATGTCGCACCAGTTTAACGTGGGATCTCCGAGCCCGTGAGATCTCCGAGCCCGTGGGCTCGGCCAAAAATATGCCCATTTGAACCTGTATAAACGGGTTCAGGGTCGGTTTACCTCCCCGAAAGAGAATCCACCCTTAGGCGTAGCCTCGGTCGGGTTCCTCCCCGCCCGAAGGCAGAGAGTTCAACCGGTCAGCAGGTCGTCCGAAATCAGACTGAACTCAGACCGAACCGCTGAGCGACCCCCACGTTACTCTTACTACTCCTACTTATTATAGGTGGGAGAGTCTATTAACTATAGAATAGGTGTGTTCCACTATAACAATTACAATCACTCATGGTATTTATGCTTCAGTTCTTTTGGACCATCGTTGGTTATTACAATCACTCATCGTATTTTTGGTTCGAGTCATTTCGACCATCGCTGGTCATTACAAGCACACATCGTATTTTCAGTTTGAGCCTGTTTGGACTATCGTTCATCATTACTATCGCTCATCGTATTTTTGATTCAATTCCTTTGGACCATCATTGGTCATTACAACCAATCATCGTACTTTTGGTTCAAGTCATTTGGACTATATTTGGTCATTACTATCGCTCATTGTATTTTTGGCTCAAGTCATTTCGACCATCGATGGTCATTACAATCACTCATCCTGTTTAGGATTCGAGTCCTTTAAACCATCGTTGGTCATTAAAATGAAGGAGAGTATTTTCCATTGGACCATCGTTGGTCATTACAATCACTCATCGTATTTTTAGTTCAAGTACTTTGGACCATTGTTGGTCATTATGATCACGCATCGTAGTTTTGGTTCGAGTCCGTTTAGACTATCGTTGGTCATTACAAGCAGTCATCGTCGTTTTTGGTTCAAGCCTTTGGACCATCGTTGGTCATTACAATCAATCATTGTATATTTGGTTCAAGTACATTAGACCATCGTTGATCATTACAACCATGCATCATATATTTGGTTTGAGTCCGTTTGGAGGATAATTGGTCATTCCTATTGCTCATCGTCTTTTCAGTTCAAGTCCTTTGGACCATCATTGGTCATTACAATCACTCATCATATATTTGGCTCAAGTCCTTTGGACCATCGTTGGTCATTACAATCACTCATCATATATTTGGCTCAAGTCCTTTGGACCATCGTTGGTCATTACAATCACTCATCATATATTTGGCTCAAGTCCTTTGGACCATCGTTGGTCATTACAATCATGCATCGTATTTTTGGTTCGAGTCCTTTTGGACACTCGTTTGTCATTAGTATCGCTCATCGCCTTTTTGGTTAAAGTCATTTGGACCATCGCTGGTCATTACAATCACTTATGGTATTTTTTGCTTCAAGGAATTTGGACCATCGTTGGTCATTACAATCACTCATGGTATTTATGGCTCAAGTCCTTTCGAACATCGTTGGCTATTACAATCACTCATTGTATTTTTGGTTCCAGTCCTTTGGATCATCGTTGGTCATTAAAGTCACACACCGTATTTTTTTGAGTCCTCTTGGCCCACCTTAATAATTGCCATCGCTCAACGTGTTTTTGTTCGAGTCCTCTTGAACCACCGTGGTAATTTCCATCACGCATCGTTTTTCCTCTTGCCCCACTTTCATAATTGCCATAGCTTATCGTGTGTCTGTTCGAGTCCTCTGGCCCACCTTGGTAATTGCCATCGCTTATCGTATTTTTGTTCGAGTCCTCCAGGCAGACATTGGTAATTGCCATCGCTCAACGTGTTTTTGTTCGATACCTCTTGGCCCACCTTGGTAATTGCCATCGCTTCGCCCATCTTCGTAATTGACAAAGGAATCAAACAAAAACACGATAAGCGATGGCAATCACAACGATGGGCCAAGAGGACTCGAACAAAAACACGACGAGAGATGGCAATACCAAGTTGGGCCAAGAGTACTCGAATAAAAACACGATGAGCGATGGCAAGTAACAAAGTGGGCCAAGAGGACTCGAACAAAAACACGATGAGCGATAACAATTACTACGATAGGCCAAGAAACTCGGACAACAACACAACAAAAACAAAAGTTGGGCCAAGAGGACTCGAATAAAACACGATGAGCGATAGCAATTAGTAAAGGACTGCCAAGTGGACTAGAGTAAAAACACGATGAATAATGCTAATTACTTAGGTCTGCCAAGAGGACTCGAAAAAACACGATGAGCGATGGCAATTACCAAAGTGGTCCAAGAGGACTCGCTCGAACAAAACGCGTTCACCGATGGCAATTACCAAGTTTGGCCAACTGGAATCAAACAAAATCACAATGGTCGATGGCAATTACTAAGGTGAACCATAAGGACTCGAACAAATTACGATGAGACATGGCAATACCAAGTCGGGCCAAGAGAACAAGAACCAAAACACGATGAATTATGGCAATTAGCAAGATCTGACAAGTGGACTCGAACAAAAACACGATGAGTGATGGCAAGTAACAAAGAGAGCCAAGAGGACTCGAACAAAACACGATGAGCGATGGCAATTACTAAGGTGGGCCAATTGTCCGATTCACGTTGATCAACCTTCGTAATTGCCATCGATCATCATTTTCTGTTCGAGTCCTCTTGGCCCACTTTGGTAATTGCCATCGATAATCGTGTTTTTGTTTGAATTCTTTTGGCCATCTTTGCTAATTGCCATAGCTCATCGTGTTCCAGTCCTCTTGGTCCACTTTAGTAATTGCCATTTTTCATCGTGTTTTTGTCCGAGTTCTTTTGGCCCAACTTGGGAATTGACATCGCTCATCATTTTTCTTGTTCGTGTCCTCTTGGCCCACTTTCGTACTTGCCATCGCTCATCGTATTTTTGTACGAGTCCTCTTGGCCCGCCTTGGTAATTGCCATCTCTTATCATGTTTTTGTCCGAGTACTCTTGGCCCACTTTGCTTAATTGCTATCGCTCATCCTGTTTTTTGTTTGCGTTGCTCTTCCTCGCCCGCCTTTTTATCCACCTTTGGGAATTGCCATCGCTCATCGTGTTTTTGTCCGTGTCCTCTTTGCTCACTTTAGTAATTACCATCGCTCACCCTGTTTTTTCGAGTCCTCTTGGCCCACCTTGGTAATTTCCATCGCTCCTCGTGTTTGTTTTGGATTTCTTTGAGCCAGCCTTGGTAACTGCCATCTCTTATCGTGTTTTTGTTCGATTCCTCTTAGCCCACTTTGGAAATTGCCATCGCTCATCCTGTTTTTGTTCGACAACTCTTGGCCCACTTTAGTAATTGCCATCGCTCATCGTGTTTTGTTCGAGTCCTCTTGGCCCACCTTGCTAATTGCCATCGTTCATCCTGTTTTTTTTTGTGTCCTCTTGGTCCACCTTGCTAATTGTCATTGCTCAACCTGTTTTTGTTCGTGTCCTCTTGTCCGACTCTATTTATTGCCATCGCTCATTGTGTTTTTGTTCGTGTCCTCTTGTCCCTCTCTATTTATTGCCATCGCTCATTGTGTTTTTGTTCGTGTCCTCTTGTCCCACTCTATTTATTGCCATCGCTCATTGTGTTTTTGTTCGTGTCCTCTTGTCCCACTCTATTTATTGCCATCGCTCATTGTGTTTTTGTTCGTGTCCTCTTGTCCCTCTTTTATTGCCATCATCGCTCATTGTGTTTTTGTTCGTGTCCTCTTGTCCCTCTCTATTTATTGCCATCGCTCATTGTGTTTTTTGTTCGTGTCCCTCTTGTCCCGCTCTTTATTTATTGCCATCGCTCATTGTGTTTTTTTTCGTGTCCTCTTTGTCCCTCTTGTCCACTCTATTTATTGCCATCGCTCATTGTGTTTTGTTCGTGTCCTCTTGTCCCTCTCTATTTATTGCCATCGCTCATTGTGTTTTTGTTCGTGTCCTCTTGTCCCCTCCATCTATTTATTGCCATCGCTCATTGTGTTTTTGTTTTATGTCCTCTTGTCCCTCTTTATTTATTGCCATCGCTCATTGTGTTTTTTGTTCGTGTCCTCTTGTCCCTCTATTTATTGCCATCGCTCATTGTGTTTTTGTTCGTGTCCTCTTGTCCCTCTCTTTTATTACCATCGCTCATTGTTTTTTGTTCGTGTCCTCTTGTCCCTCTATTTAATGCCATCGCTCATTGTGTTTTTGTTCGTGTCCTCTTGTCCCAGCAAATATTTTTTCTGCCCTCGCTCAATATCCCCATTTTTTTTTGTTCGTGTCCTCTTGTCCCATTCTATTATTGCCATCGCTCATTGTGTTTTTGTTCTCTATTTATTGCCCTCGCTCATTGTGTTTTTTGTTCGTGTCCTCTTGTCCCCCTCCCTATTTGTTGCCATCTCATTTTTGTTTTTGTTTCTGTCCTCTTGTCCCTCTCTATTTATTGCCATCGCTCATTGTGTTTTTGTTCGTGTCCTCTTGTCCCTCTATTTCTTTCGCTCATTATTGCCATCGCTCATTGTGTTTTTGTTCGTGTCCTCTTGTCCCAATTTATTGCCATCGCTCATTGTGCTTTTTATTTCGTGTCCTCTTGTCCCTCTATTTTATTGCCATTTATTATTCATTTCACGCTTGTCCCCTTTCTTTTCTTTCGCTCATTGTGTTTTTATTCGTGTCCTCTTGTCCCTCTATTTAATGCCATCGCTCATTGTGTTTTTTGTTCGTGTCCTCTTGTCCCTCCCATCGCTCATTGTGTTTTTTTCGTGTCCTCTTGTCCCCTCTTATTTATTGCCATCGCTCATTTATTGCCATCGCTCATTGTGTTTTTGTTCGTGTCCTCTTGTCCCCTCCTATTTAATGCCATCGCTCATTGTGTTTTTTTGTTCGTTTCCTCTTGTCCCTCTTTCTTCGCTTTCTGTTTTGTTCAAAGTCTCTATTTGTGTTTTTTGTTTTTTCATCTTGTCCCTCTATTTATTACCATCGCTCATTGTGTTTTTGTTCGTGTCCTCTTGTCCCTCTCTATTTTCCCATGTCCTCTTGTCCCTCTGTTGTTGCCATCGCTCATTGTTTTTTTTCGTGTCCTCTTGTCCCTCTCTTTGTTATTGCCATCGCTCATTGTGTTTTTGTTCGTGTCCTCTTGTCCCCTCCTCTATTTATTGCCATCGCTCATTGTGTTTTTTATTTCGTGTCCTCTTGTCCCCTCTCTTTCTATTTATTTTAATGCCATCGCTCATTGTGTTTTGTTCGTGTCCTCTTGTCCCTTTTTTTGATTTATTTATTGCCATCGCTCATTGTGTTTTTTTGTTCGTGTCCTCTTGTCCCTCTCTATTTAATTGCCATCGCTCATTGTGTTTTGTTCGTGTCCTCTTGTCCCCTCTTTTTATTGCCCTCGCTCATTGTGTTTTGTTCGTGTCCTCTTGTCCCTCTCTATTTTGCCATCGCTCATTGTGTTTTTAAAATATCCTCTTGTCCCTCTATTTATTGCCATCGCTCATTGTGTTTTTGTTCGTGTCCCCTCTTGTCCCCTCTATTTATTGCCATCGCTCATTTGAAAGTTTTTGTCTCTCTTGTCCCTCTCTTTTATTGCCATCGCTCATTGTGTTTTTTTGTTCGTGTCCTCTTGTCCCTCTATTTATTGCCATCGCTCATTGTGTTTTTGTTCGTGTCCTCTTGTCCCTCTCTATTTATTGCCATCGCTCATTGTGTTTTTTCGTGTCCTCTTGTCCCTCTCATTTTGTTTTTTTCATCGCTATTGTGTTTTTTGTTCGTATCCTCTTGTCCCATTATTTATTGCCATCGCTCATTGTGTTTTTGTTCGTGTCCTCTTGTCCCTCTTATTTCATGCCATCGCTCATTGTGTTTTTTGTTCGTGTCCTCTTGTCCCATCTCATTTATTGCCATCGCTTTGTGTTTTTTTCATGTTCGTGTCCCCTCTTTTAATGCCATCGTTTCCCTCTTGTCCCTCTATTTATTGCCATCGCTCATTGTGTTTTTTGTTCGTTTCCTCTTGTCCCTCTCTATTTATTGCCATCGCTCATTGTGTTTTTTTTCGTGTCCTCTTGTCCCCTCTATTTATTGCCATCGCTCATTTGTGTTTTTGTTCGTGTCCTCTTGTCCCTCTATTTATTGCCATCGCTCATTGTGTTTTTTTTCATGTCCTCTTGTCCCACTCTATTTATTGCCATCGCTCATTTATGTTTTTGTTTCGTGTCCTCTTGTCCCTCTCATTTATTTTATTCGCTCATTGTGTTTTTTTTTTTAAATTCGTGTCCTTTGTCCCTCTCTCTATTTATTGCCATCGCTCATTGTGTTTTTTTCGTGTCCTCTTGTCCCTCTATTTATTGCCATCGCTCATTGTGTTTTTGTTCGTGTCCTCTTGTCCCTCTCTTTTATTGCCATCGCTCATTGTGTTTTTGTTCGTGTCCTCTGTCCCTCTATTTATTGCCATCGCTCATTGTGTTTTTGTTCGTGTCCTCTTGTCCCCTCTATTTAATTGCCATCGCTCATTGTGTTTTTGTTCAAATTTAATGCCATCGCTCATTGTGTTTTTGTTCGTGTCCTCTTGTCCCTCTATTTATTGCCCTCGCTCATCTTGTTTTTGTTCGTGTCCTCTTGTCCCACTCTATTTATTGCCATCGCTCATTGTGTTTTTGTTCGTGTCCTCTTGTCCCACTCTATTTATTGCCATCGCTCATTGTGTTTTTGTTCGTGTCCTCTTGTCCCACTCTATTTAATGCCATCGCTCATTGTGTTTTTTTTGTTCGTGTCCTCTTGTCCCTCTATTTATTGCCATCCCATCGCTCATTGTGCTTTTGTTCGTGTCCTCTTGTCCCACTCTATTTATTGCCATCGCTCATTGTGTTTTTATTCGTGTCCTCTTGTCCCACTCTATTTGTTGCCATCGCTCATTGTGTTTTTGTTCGTGTCCTCTTGTCCCATCGCTCATTGTCTATTTATTGCCATCGCTCATTGTGTTTTGTTCGTGTCCTCTTGTCCCCTCTCTTTCGTGTCCTCTCCCTCTCTATTTAACCCATCGCTCATTGTATTTTTTGTTCGTGTCCTCTCCATTTATTTATGCCCTCGCTCATTGTGCTTTTGTTTCGTGTCCTCTTGTCCCTCTATTTATTGCCATCGCTCATTGTGTTTTGTTCGTGTCCTCTTGTCCCCTCTATTTAATTGCCATCGCTCATTGTGTTTTTGTTCGTGTCCTCTTTTCCCCTCTATTTATTGCCATCGCTCATTGTGTTTTTTGTTCGTGTCCTCTCCCTCTATTTATTGTCCCCTCTATCGCTCATTTGTGTTTTTGTTCGTGTCCTCTTGTCCCTCTCTATTTATTGCCATCGCTCATTGTGTTTTTTTTTCGTTGTCCTCTTGTCCCTCTATTTATTGCCATCGCTCATTGTGTTTTTGTTCGTGTCCTCTTGTCCCACTCTAATTTATTGCCATCGCTCATTGTGTTTTTTTGTTCGTGTCCTCTTGTCCCCTCTATTTATGCTCATTGTGTTTTTTGTTCGTGTCCTCTGGTCCCCTCTATTTAACCCTCGCTATTTAATGCCATCGCTCATTGTTTTTTGTTCGTGTCCTCTTGTCCCTCTATTTATTGCCCATCGCTCATTTATTCCATCCTGTTTTTGTTTTATGTCCTCTTGTCCCCCCTCTATTTATTGCCATCGCTCATTGTGTTTTTGTTCGTGTCCTCTTGTCCCTCTATTTAATGCCATCGCTCATTGTGTTTTTTATTCATGTCCTCTTGTCCCTCTATTTATTGCCATCGCTCATTGTGTTTTTTGTTCGTGTCCTCTTGTCCCTCTATTTAATGCCATCGCTCATTGTGTTTTTGTTCGTGTCCTCTTTATTGCCCTCGTCCCTCTCTCCATTTATTGCCATCGCTCATTGTGTTTTTGTTCGTGTCCTCTTGTCCCTCTATTTATTGCCATCGCTCATTGTTTTTTTTTTGTTCGTGTCCTCTTGTCCCACTCTATTTAATGCCATCGCTCATTGTGTTTTTTTCGTGTCCTCTTGTCCCTGTTTTTATTGCCCTCTTGTCCCTCTTTTGTTTTGTGTTTTTTGTTCGTGTCCTCTTGTCCCTCTATTTAATGCCATCGCTCATTGTGTTTTTTGTTCGTGTCCTCTTGTCCCTCTATTTATTGCCATCGCTCATTGTGTTTTTGTTCGTGTCCTCTTGTCCCTCTCTATTTATTGCCATCGCTCATTGTGTTTTTGTTCGTGTCCTCTTGTCCCTCTCTATTTATTGCCATCGCTCATTGTGTTTTTGTTCGTGTCCTCTTGTCCCACTCTATTTATTGCCATCGCTCATTGTGTTTTTGTTCGTGTCCTCTTGTCCCCTCTATTGCCATCGCTCATTTGTTTTTTTTCGTGTCCTCTTGTCCCTCCTCTATTTATTGCCATCGCTCATTCTGTTTTTTTGTTCGTGTCCTCTTGTCCCACTCTATTTATTGCCATCGCTCATTTTGTGTTTTGTTCATGTCCTCTTGTCCCCTCCCTTTATTGCCATCGCTCATTGTGTTTTTGTTCGTGTCCTCTTCCTCCCTCTATTTATTGCCATCGCTCATTGTGTTTTTGTTCGTGTCCTCTTTTCCCTCTATTTAATGCCATCGCTCATTGTGTTTTTTGTTCGTGTCCTCTTTGTCCCCTCTTTTATTGCCCCTCGCTCATTGTGTTTTTTGTTTGTCCTCTGTCCCTCTCTTTCCATCGCTCATTGTGTTTTTTATTCGTGTCCTCTTGTCCCTCTCTATTTGTTGCCATCGCTCATTGTGTTTTTTGTTCGTGTCCTCTTGTCCCATCGCTCTTATGTTTTATTTAATGCCATCGCTCATTGTGTTTTTGTTCGTGTCCTCTTGTCCCACTCTATTTAATGCCATCGCTCATTGTGTTTTTGTTCGTGTCCTCTTGTCCCACTCTATTTAATGCCATCGCTCATTGTGTTTTTGTTCGTGTCCTCTTGTCCCACTCTATTTATTGCCCTCGCTCATTGTGTTTTTGTTCGTGTCCTCTTGTCCCACTCTATTTATTGCCCTCGCTCATTGTGTTTTTTGTTCGTGTCCTCTTGTTCCTTCCATTTATACCATCGCTCATTGTGTTTTGTTCGTGTCCTCTTGTCCCTCTCTATTTATTCGCTCATTGTGTTTTTTGTTCGTGTCCTCTTGTCCCCCTCTATTTATTGCCTCGATCATTGTGTTTTTTTTGTTCGTGTCCTCTTGTCCCCTCTATTTATTGCCATCGCTCATTTGTGTTTTTGTTCGTGTCCCTCTTGTCCCACTCTATTTTAATGCCATCGCTCATTGTGTTTTTTGTTCGTGTCCTCTTGTCCCTCTATTTATTGCCCTCGCTCATTGTGTTTTTTGTTCGTGTCCTCTTGTCCCTCTATTTATTGCCCCTCGCTCATTGTGTTTTTTGTTCGTGTCCTCTTGTCCCCTCTGTTATTGCCATCGCTCATTGTGTTTTGTTCGTGTCCTCTTGTCCCTCTATTTATTACCATCGCTCATTGTGTTTTTGTTCGTGTCCTCTTGTCCCTCTATTTATTGCCATCGCTCATTGTGTTTTTTGTTCGTGTCCTCTTGTCCCCTCTATTTATTGCCATCGCTCATTGTGTTTTTATTTCGTTCCTCTTGTCCCCTTTATTGCCATCGCTCATTGTGTTTTTGTTCGTGTCCCCATTTGTCCTCTATTTATTGCCATCGCTCATTGTGTTTTTTGTTCGTGTCCTCTTGTCCCCTCTATTTGTGCCATCGCTCATTGTGTTTTTGTTCGTGTCCTCTTGTCCCTCTATTTTGTGCGTGTTTTTTTTCGTGTCCTCTTCCCCTCTATTTATTGCCATCGCTCATTGTGTTTTTTTTCGTGTCCTCTTGTCCCTCTATTTATTGCCATCGCTCATTGTCTTTTGTTTTTGTTCGTGTCCTCTTGTCCCTCTATTTAATGCCATCGCTCATTGTTTTTGTTCGTGTCCTCTTGTCCCTCTCTTTATTCCATCGCTCATTGTGTTTTTGTTCGTGTCCTCTTGTCCCCATCGCTCTATTATTGCCCTCTTTATGTTTTCATTGTGTTTTGTTCGTGTCCTCTGTTTTTATTCGTGCCCTCGCTCATTGTGTTTTTTGTTCGTGTCTTCTTTTCCTCTCATTTTTCGTTCATTGTGTTGTTCATGTCTCTTGTCCCTCTCTTTATTGCCATCGTTCATTGTGTTTTTTGTTCGTGTCCTCTTGTCCCACTCTATTTTATTGCCATCGATCATTGTGTTTTTCCTCGTGTCCTCTTGTCATTCTTTTTATTGCCATCTTTTCCATTGTGTTTTTGTTCATGTCCTCTTTCCCCTCTATTTATTCCCATCATCATTGTGTTTTTGTTCGTGTCCCCTCTGTCCCCATTCTATTTTGTCCATCCCTCGCTCATTGTGTTTTTGTTCGTGTCCTCTTGTCCCTCTATTTATTGCCCATCGCTCATTGTGTTTTTGTTCGTGTCCTCTTGTCCCTCTATTTATTGCCATCGCTCATTGTTTTTTGTTCGTGTCCTCTTGTCCCTCTATTTATTGCCATCGCTCATTGTGTTTTTGTTCGTGTCCTCTTGTCCCAATCTATTTATTGCCCCTCGCTCATTGTGTTTTTGTTTCCCTCCTCTTGTCCCTCTGTTTATTGCCCTCGCTCATTGTGTTTTTTATTCCTTTTTGTTCATTCCTCGCTTTTCCTCTTGTCCCCTCTATTGCCCTCCGCTCATTGTGTTTTGTTCGTGTCCTCTTGTCCCTCTATTTTATTGCCATCGCTCATTGTGTTTTTGTTCGTGTCCTCTTGTCCCACTCTATTTATTGCCATCGCTCATTGTGTTTTTGTTCGTGTCCTCTTGTCCCTCTATTTATTGCCATCCTCATTGTGTTTTTTGTTCGTGTCCTCTTGTCCCCTCTATTTATTGCATCGCTCATTGTGTTTTTGTTCGTGTCCTCTTGTCCCACTCTATATTTATCCCTCGCTCATTTTTTTTGTTCGTGTCCTCTTGTCCCCTCTATTTATTGCCATCGCTCATTGTGTTTTTGTTTTCGTGTCCTCTTGTCCCCTCTATTTTTTTTTTAATTTCCCTCCTTTCTATTTCCTTTCATTGTTTTGTTCGTGTCCTCTTGTACCATCGCTCATTGTTTAATTTCATCGCGTCATTGTTGTTTTTTGTTCGTGTCCTCTTGTCCCCTCTCTATTTATTGCATCGCTCATTGTGTTTTGTTCGTGTCCTCTTGTCCCTCTATTTATTGCCATCGCTCATTGTGTTTTGTTCGTGTCCTCTTGTCCCCTCTATTTATTTTGCCATCGATCATTGTGTTTTTGTTCGTGTCCTCTTGTCCCTCTCGCTCATTTATTTTTTGCCCTCGCTCATTGTGTTTTTGTTCGTGTCCTCTTGTCCCCTCTCTATTTATTGCCATCGCTCATTCTTTTTGTTCGTGTCCTCTTGTCCCTCTCTATTTATTGCCTCGCTCATTGTGTTTTGTTCGTGTCCTCTTGTCCCCACTCTATTTATTGCCCTCGCTCATTGTGTTTTGTTCGTGTCCTCTTGTCCCCTATTCTCTATTTATTGCCCTCGCTCATTGTGTTTTTGTTCGTGTCCTCTTGTCCCACTCTATTTATTGCCCTGCCCATCGCTCATTGTGTTTTTGTTCGTGTCCTCTTGTCCCTCTATTTATTGCCATCGCTCATTGTGTTTTGTTCGTTGTCCTCTTGTCCCCTCTATTTATTGCCCTCGCTCATTGTGTTTTGTTCGTGTCCTCTTGTCCCTCTATTTATTGCCATCGCTCATTGTGTTTTTGTTCGTGTCCTCTTGTCCCACTCTATTTAATGCCATCGCTCATTGTGTTTTTTTCGTGTCCTCTTGTCCCCTGCCATCGCTCATGTTTTGTTCCTCGCTCATTGTGTTTTGTTTTGTGTCCTCTTGTCCCTCTGTTTATTGCCCTCGCTCATTGTGTTTTTGTTCGTGTCCTCTTGTCCCCTCTATTTATTGCCATCGCTCATTGTTTTTTGTTCGTGTCCTCTTGTCCCCTCTATTTATTGCCATCGCTCATTGTGTTTTTTCGTTCGTCCTCTTGTCCCTCTATTCATTGTGCCATCGCTCCTCTTCTCCCATTATTTGTGTTTTTTATTCGTGTCCTCTTGTCCCTCTATTTATTTCCATCGCTCATTGTGTTTTTGTTCGTGTCCTCTTGTCCCCTCTATTTTATTTGTGCCCCTCGCTCATTGTGTTTTGTTTCGTGTCCTCTTGTCCTCTATTTATTGCCATCGCTCATTGTGTTTTTTTTTGTTCGTGTCCTCTTGTCCCCTCTATTTAATGCCATCGCTCATTGTGTTTTTGTTCGTGTCCTCTTGTCCCTCTATTTATTGCCATCGCTCATTGTGTGTTTTTTGTTTCGTGTCCTCTTGTCCCCTCTATTTATTGCCATCGCTCCATTTGTGTTTTTTGTTCGTGTCCTCTTGTCCCACTCTATTTATTGCCATCGCTCATTGTGTTTTTTGTTCGTGTCCTCTTGTCCCCTCTCTATTTATTGCCATCGCTCATTGTGTTTTGTTCGTGTCCTCTTGTCCCTCTTTTTACCCTCGCTCATTGTGTTTTTGTTCATGTCCTCTTGTCCCTCTATTTAAATGCCATCATCATTGTGTTTTTTTCGTGTCCTCTTGTCCCTCTATTTAATGCCATCGCTCATTGTGTTTTTGTTCGTGTCCTCTTGTCCCACTCTATTTATTGCCCTCGCTCATTGTGTTTTTGTTCGTGTCCTCTTGTCCCACTCTATTTATTGCCCTCGCTCATTGTGTTTTTGTTCGTGTCCTCTTGTCCCACTCTATTTATTGCCATCGCTCATTGTGTTTTTGTTCGTGTCCTCTTGTCCCACTCTATTTATTGCCATCGCTCATTGTGTTTTTGTTCGTGTCCTCTTGTCCCTCTCTATTTATTGCCATCGCTCATTGTGTTGTATTGCCATCATCCTCATTGTGTTTTTTTGGATCCTTTAAAAACATCTTGTCCTAATCAATATTTGATTAACAATTGTCAACTTGATTTGGTCTATTTCCCATTTATTGCCATCATCCTCATAACATTATCTACATGTAGAAAGGATGAAAGCAACTATGAAAAACATCCTTGTAGCTAATCAATATTGTGATTTTTAATCAAGTCAACTTGATTTGGTTAATATTTCCATATTTATTGCCATCATCTCATAACATTATCTACATCTAGAAAGGATGAAAGCAACTATGAAAAACATCCTTGTAGCTAATCAATATTTGATTAAAATCAAGTCAACTTGATTTGCCATCGCTCATTATGTTTTTTCGTTCCATCATCCTCATAACATTATCTACATCTAGAAAGGATGAAAGTAACTATGAAAAACATCCTTGTAGCTAATCAATATTTGATTAACAATCAAGTCAACTTGATTTTGTTAATATTTCCATGTTTATTGCCATCATCCTCATAACATTATCTACATCTAGAAAGGATGAAAGTAACTATGAAAAACATCCTTGTAGCTAATCAATATTTGATTAACAATCAAGTCAACTTGATTTGTTAATATTTCCATGTTTATTGCCATCATCCTCATAACATTATCTACATCTAGAAAGGATGAAAGTAACTTGAAAAACATCCTTGTAGCTAATCAATATTTGATTAACAATCAAGTCTCCTTGATTTGGTTAATATTTGTTATTGCCATCATCCTCTAACATTGTCTACATCTAGAAAGGATGAAAGTAACCTTGAAAAAATATCCTTGTAGCTAATCAATATTTGATTATCATTGTAACTTTGAAAAACATCCTTGTCCCAATCTGTTTTTGCCATTAATCTAAAAGTGTTTGTTCGTGTCCTTTGATTTAAAATTTATTGCCATCATTGTGTTTTGTTTCATGATCTAGAAATAAACATCATGTCAAAAATATCCTTGTCTTGTAAATATGGTCCCTTCAAAATTTTTGAGTTTATTTTATGTCATTGTGTTAGATTGACATCCTCTTTGATAAATATCCAATTTAATATGATCAGATATACTTTTTGTTCTTGTCCTCTTGGTTAATGGCATTCAAATTTTCATGAACAGTTTCATTGAGAAATATGTTTTCTTATTCCCTGATGAAACTCCCATCCTTCATATCAAATGTTTTTTATTTTTTTAATTATTTTCCCCAAACAAAGTGATAATGCCAATACATCAAGAAGAGATTTTTTGAGAGAAAAATAGGAAAGACTTATTCCTCTTGTAAATCTATTTAAAATATCAAATGTTTTGTGTTTTTAAATCGTGTCCTCAAAAAGGCAATTGCTGTGCAGGATCAAGTATTTATTGGGATCGCTCATTGTGTTTTTGAAGGAATCCAACAGAAAATGTCCCTCTATTTAATGCCAAACAATTGTGTTTTAGTTAGTGTCCTCTTCCCTCTTAAACATGATTACATTATAGGTGTGTTTTTGGAGGAAAGCTCCAATTGACTAGAAAATATTTGTAGAAAAGAAGAGGATTGTGTTTTTGTTCAAAGGACTGAAGTCAAGATATTTAATGTCAAAATCATTGTGTTTTCTTTTGTTCCTCTTGAGATATATAGGAAAGCCCTCAGAACATTGTGTTTTTCAATGAAAATGTCCTCTTGATATATTTATTGCCCTCGCTCATTGAGACAAGAAAATTGTTCAAGAACACTGAACCAACTTTTAACATGCATTAAACATAGTTTTTGATTCAATATCCTTGAGATATATATTGCCATCAAATCATTGTGTTTTTGTTGTTAAAATATGTCCTGAATGATCTATTTATTGCCATCGCTCATTGATTTTTTGTTCTCCTATTGTCCATTAAATGAAATCATTTTGTTTTGTCGTTGTTCCTATTAATTGATTCAATTTCATTTTATTTCAGTTTTTTTTTAAAAAAAATTCGAAGTAAGATATACATTTTTGGCTTAGTCCTTTTTTATTAATATATTGTGTTATCCTCAAAATGTCTTTATGTTTCTTAAATTTTAAATCAACTTTTCATTGCATCGTGTTTTAATTTATAGTTCTTTTTCACTGCAATTTGGTCGTTTTTAAAACACATCTTTAGCAAAGATTTTTTTTTTTTTTTGCTTGATTAAGGAATGCATAATATCATTGTTTTCTTAGCATCCTAAATTTTGAAATGCTATCTGAATAAAATGGTTAATCTATCTGAGTCAATTTTTTGCAAATGTCAGTCCTTTTGTCCACATCGTTGAAAAAATTTATTAAAGATTTTTTTTTATCCCTGACCATTAGATAATCTTTGGTCATATATTTTATTCAAATCATATTTTTTTTTTTTTTACAATATTTTAAAATTTTGAATCAAAAAAGATTTTATCCTTTCAGTTTAAATTCCAAAACTAATGAATAAATTATTGAAAAATATCTTAAAATAAGTTCAAGTATTTGTTTAAAAACCAGTCAATATGAATAAAAAAAAATATGTTTATGCACAACGTTCATAGAATAATTTTTTAATTTACTGCTATATTTTAAAATGGCGTGTTCTTTAAAAAGATTTAATCCTAACAGTTATATTCTAGACTCAGGAATCTGATAAAAAAAAATTAAGGTGTATAAAATATTGTAAACCTTTTGGAGTTGACAGGTTATTCCATTACATCACTATCTACTAGTTATGCACAAGGAAGGTTGAAGGGGTCAAAATAAAAAATGTAGAAATATTTGCTGTGTCCTAGTTCTTGTGTTAAAAAGTCGAAAAAAAATTTTCATATACAAAGTAGTTGGTGTTCTCGAATTATAGGTAGAAAAAATTATTATTTTTTTTGAGTTCGTCTTTTAGTTTATTCCATTTTCTGAGAATTTACTAGTCATTGAATAGATTTGCGAAGGTTAAGGGTGAAAATCGACCATTTTGAAATGGACTGTTACTCAGACTGATAGTTGAAAAGATTTTCTTTTATTTGTATCTGTTCGTATACAAAATCTGTATTAAATCAGAAATTGAACAATATTTTAATTCAAAATGCTTGGCACTGTTTCCATGTATGTTAGTAGACAATTACAAACATTCTTAATGGCTCCTATTACTATTTTGACGCTGAAGCTTTACAGTTTCAAAATTTGATATAGATTTTTTTGATTTGTGTTCCCCCCTGTCAAGTATTAAATATGTTAATTAAAGGAATATTTAAGTTGGTATTCACCCAGTAGGTGTATTGTAACAAGACGCATTCTTATATAAAAAGTTAAAGTGTTGCGTGTTTGTAGTTTGATATAGATTTTAAAGGAATCAAGGATCAAACCTTTCAATGATTTTTCTGTTCAAAATGTTTTAGTTTTATTTGGTGAACCGGAAACCTTGTATTCCTATTGAAAAAAAATTAAATAAATAAAATAAAAAGTTCAGAGTTTTAAACCCAGGTTAGAAACGATTTTCTTTGAGTCTTTATTCAGTACCCTAAAAGTCAAAACAGGATTTTTCGTAAACCTATATATTCATTTTCAATTATGCATATTAAAATTTTAAAATTATCTAAACTGTTCCTTTCAGATCAAACTGGCGTCTTCTCCTTATATTGAGGCGCCCACTGGTCAGAACCGAACTTGCTAGCTGGTAGTACGCCCCCTGAGTACCCGTAGATTGTTCGACCGGTCACTACCAAGTTCCGCCTGCTGCCTACGTTGTGTTAGTTTTAGATCCAGTAAGCGGGTGTTCATGGTCGATTGGGGATGAGGCACGGCTGTAAAGGTGGTAGCAGGAAAATTAGAATGTGGCAAACATAGCAATATCTGGATAAGCCAACAACAATGGGTGAAATATTGATGTCTTTTATATAAGAAAACAAACAGTTTAAAGAGTTTACAGAATGTTCAGGTGAAAAGCAATTAACATAAGAACAGAGATCCACTCTCTACCAATTATACTAACAGAGAGTAGGTGTGTGATTAACTCTTATCCAAATCAACTTAGGAGGATATGTGACATAATTCCAGCCCTACATGGAAGTGTAGCTTTTCAGTTGGTTGTCGTAAGTGACAAACGTTAACTTTCAGCGACTTTTCAATGCGACTGCTACAACGACGATGATTTTTCTTGAAGTCCTTATCTCTGGACTCGTCACTTAACCGACTCACTGCAACGACATCTTTCTCTTTTCTCTCAACGTCACTGTCGTCTAACGCCCAAGTCTCCCAACTCAGTAAAAAAGCGTTTGTATTTTGGTGAATGTTCGTCGTACGTTTATGTGATAATGTTCATGGAGTCTCCCACAAATAGGAAGATGGCAACAAAGATGAGAGCTAACTATCCAAAAAATGTAA